CTGGTGGGCCCGGGGCCACTGCTCTCCCCTGATGGCCGTAGGGCTGCAGTTGGCCCCGGGGGGCACTTTGGTCTGCCCCAGCCAGGGGCTTCCCACTGCCCTGGGGGCCCCCCCGGGCAGGGTTTGGTGGAAGAGCAACACCAGGGCTGCTTGCCAGTGGGGCTGGTGGAGGCAGGTTGGCTGAGCCTGTGAGAAAGAGCAAACCCTGGAAGTCACATCCCAAGCTGGGGGTGTCAGGCGCTGAGAGGACTGAGGAGGAGGAGGAGGAGGAGGGCGAGGTGCAGGGGAGGAAGGGCTGTGAATGTCCCCACCGTGCACAGCGGGGCTTTCGGGGTCAGGCTCTGTCCTCACCTTTGGTGCCGGAGCTTTGGGGGGAGCGGAAGAGCTGCTGCACGAGCCGGGTCAGGGCTGATCTCCAGCTCACAGAGCGGCGCCACAGAGCTGACAGGGCCATGGTCAGTCAGACTCGGTGGCCGGTCGCTTCTGTTGACTGGACACAGGTCTGGATGCTCCTCTTGGAGCATCTCCAGGGATGGAATGTTGGGCCTCCCATTGTGTCATAGAGACAGCAGTAATGCTGGGGCTTCCCTTCTTCTGCCCCACCCCCAACAGCTTTGCCAGCTCTTCATGGGCAGAGGAAGGGTTAACCAAAGAGCTCGAATCACATAACATCCTGCCTTGGAAGGGACCCACAAGAGTCGCCCAGTCCAACTCCTGGCCCTGTGCAGGACAGCACAGCCATCCCACCATGTGCCTGAGAGCGTTGTCCAAACGCTCCTTGAGCTCTGGCAGCCTTGGGGCCGTGACCACTGCCCTGGGCAGCCTGTTCCAGTGCCCGACCACCCTCCGGGGGAAGCACCTTTTCCTAATGTCCAACCTAAGCCTCTGCTGACACAGCTCCGACCATTGCCTCAGGTCCTGTCCCTGGTCCCACAGAGCAGAAATGGCCGCTGCCCCTTGGCAGGAAGCTGCAGCCCCCCATGAGATCTGACCTCAGTCTCCTCCGCTCCAGGCTCAACAGCCCCAATGACCTCAGACCTCAAGGGCAAGGTCCTGCACCTGGCTCAGGGCTTGGCTGGTGCCACCTGGCACAACAGCAGCTTGCAAATTTTGCAACACAACAGGGAGGACCAAGAAGGCTTGGGCTAAGAGAGACTATTTACAAGGGACTGGAGTGACAGACCCAGGGGCAATGGCTTCACACTGGCAGAGGGCAGGCTTAGATGGCATATCGGAAAGAAAGTGTTCAGGGCCAGGTTGGACGCGGCTTGGAGCAAGCTGGTCTAGCGGAAGGTGTCCCTGCCCGTGGCAGAGGGGTGGTTGGAAGCAGATGAGCTTTAGGGTCCCTTCCTTCCAACACGAACCGGTCTAGGAGTCTAGGAGTCTTGAAAAACAGGAGACTTCTGCAGAAGCCAGGAGGTGAATAAAAACATTTGCCACTTAAAGACAAAGTCTTGTTGCCAAGGGTCATCACCTGATTCTGGGGACTACTCTCATGACTTCTCACCACTGGAAGCTGACATTGCTGAAAGTGATGCAAATTGACCTAAACCCAAACAATCCGACAAAAGCTCCCTGATGCAAGGATCCTGGAGCAAGCATATCATCCTGGAGGCAATGATAGGGCAATTTCTGCGCCTCTGCCGTAAACCTGTCAGTTCTGGCCCTACCCTGGAGAGTTTTTTTTCTGCTCTCCATTCCATGGGAAGACAAGAGTGGAGAAGAAGAACAGGGTTCTGTCCACTCAGGGTCAAAGGCGCTTTAGGTCTGTGCTGTGATCTGTTGGAGTTGAGCTCTTGTCTAGAAAACGAGGGCTTTCGGGACTGCTCTGATTCCTCACGTGGACTCAGATGTTCCAAGCAGGCAAGGGTACGTCCAAGAGAGGTTCTGCCCACTTGAACTTCTGAACTTGTGGAGCTCTCCTGGCAGTTCTGGGCGTAGTGATTCTGTGGATGTCAATTGGCTGTTCTGGAGAAAAGCTGGGGATTAAAAGAAGTAGTGAGAGAACCAGACCGAAAATGGGTGAAAGTGTTGCAGAAAGTGAGGCTGGGCAGTAAGAGCTCAACAGTAAGAACAAGGGTGTTTCCCATTCCCTGGCATTAGGAGAAGGACGAAGGGAAACAAGGAGCTCGGCCCCCGGAGAAAGACCCACCGGTGCAGTGTTTGAGGAGACAGGGTGTGCAGCAAATCAGGCAGTGGGCTTCGAGCAGTGAGTGAGGGGAAAAAAGGATTTCAGGCAAGAAGGAAGAAGATCCCTGAAGAGGCTCAAGGCAGCTCTCCTCAGCTCCACGGTTCTAGTCTTACAGGCTGCCTTGCTTCCTCCTCCCGCCATCCCGAGCTCCACTCTTAGCAATAGGAAGGTGCTCTTGCAAAGGGTGTAGTGCAGTCACGGTTCGCAGTGAGAAGCAAGAAGTCACTGGTTGTTCAGTTGTCAGTTCCCAAGAGGTGCCGTTTGCCCGGAGACAGGGGGCCCAGTCAGCAGCCCAGAAGGTCTCAGGTGGCCACGTCGTCCCTTTTGAAGCGGCCTCCGTTTTGAAAAATGTCAGTGGCCTTCCCAGCCACCTCATCGGGACGTAATGGGGGGCACAGAGCAGGCGTGTCGGGAAGCCTGTAAGCCCAGAGTATCTCAGCCAGTGGAGAAACAGGCAGGGAGCAGCGCTGCGGGCAAAGGGGCTAAAAGGGGGCTGCGACCTCCACTGAGCTGAGCCACCTGACTGCGGTTTGTCCAGTGAAGTCTCCCTTTTATTGCAATGAAAGTTTATTTTTTTTCGTCAGCTCCTCTATCTCCTGGCTATTTATGTGTTTCCCACTGGCTGGAATTTCAGACGACCACAATCCCATGGTCTCTACAGCCCCGGCTGTCCCGGACCTTCCCATCTCCAACGAGGTCTTTGCTGTGTGTTCGTAAGAGGTGGAGCAGCACAGCATTCCTTTTGCTTGTCAGAGGCTCCAGCCCCCTGGGCCAGGAAGTTGTCGTCACCGCTTTCCGGGAACCTGCTGGACTGTTGGTGCTTGGCTGTGTTGCTTCTCCAGCTGCCGTCAAGGTAGTTGAAGTCTCCATGAGAACCAGGGACTGTGACTTGGAGGCTGCTTCAAGCTGCCTGTAGAGGTCTCCTCCACATCTTGCTCCTGCTCAGGAGGCCTGGAGCAAACCCCCACAGCAGTGTGCCCATTCCCAGCCTGCCCGCCCTTTGATCCTGACCCATCAACTCCTGAGTGGCTGGCCGTCCACCCCAAGACAGAGGTCGAGACCTTCCGAGTGTCACCTCCCAGAGATCTACGGATGTCGTCTCCCTGGGCTCCTGTGAGGCCCTGGATGTGGTTGCCAGCGCATTCTTCCCTCTCCCTCATCGGCCCTGTCCAATGCAGCCCCAGGGCAGCCCGGAGGAGCCCTGTCTGGGGCTGTGGTGGGGTCACTGGGAGCAGCCTTCCAAAGCCCCAGAGCGGCAGGATGGTGCCCAGGCTGTGCTCAGGGCTGCTTTGGGCGTGGGGCCGTCTGCGCCAGTCCCGCACGGGACCCATGTGTCCTGGCTGCCGCGCCAAAGGGCTGCTTCCCCAGGCGAAGGGGGCAGGGGAGTGACCCTGCGTGAGTGCCTGCACCTCTGTCAGTGACGCAGGCCCGGGGTGCCCTTTGGGTGCCCTTGGTGCCCTTTGGGCCTTGGTGGATCTGCTTGGTGCCATTTGCTGCTGCCACCCTGCACTCCCTCCCCATTCCATGCAGACACAGGCAGGTGTTGGAATAAAATCTTTTATTCCGTAACCAGAAGAAAACTGTTAACTATATCTACGTCTACATCTATCTCTACATCTTCCCTACATCTCTATCTACATCTTCCCCACATAAACACCCTCCCTCCCTCCCACTGGGATAGATCCCCAAACGATCTATCCCTCCCCCTGGCATAGATCCCCAAACGATCTATGCCTCAAGCTGGGATAGGTCCCCAAACGACCTATCCCTCAAACTGGGATAGATCCCCAAACGATCTATCCCTTTAAGAGGCCTAAGCCAGTCTTTCTGCCCCAGCCCCGGCTGCGGGAGCCTTGATCTTGCTGGCAGCCCCCGGCTCCGAGCCCCTCTTCCTCTTCGTCCCCCGCCTTTCCAGCTTGGTGTCGTGTGGGGGGACGCTGCTCTGCGGTGGTGGCAGGTCTGTCCCCACGTGCTGCTGGGAGTCCTGAGGCTTCGTGCCGATGGCGTGGCGGTGCCCCGTGCTCAGGACGGCTTGGGAAGGCTTGGGGACACCGCAGGCATTTTGGGGCATCTTCTTCGGCGGGCAGAGCGAGGGGATCTTGTGCTGGGGGCTGGTGCCGCTGGTGCTGCTGGTGCCCCCACGGTCTGTGGGCACGGGGACGCTGCTGCCATGATCCTGGCTGGTCCCTGCAGCCCCCGGGGAGCAACCCAAGTGCCCCTGAGTCCCCTTCGGCAGGACCTTCCCCCGCAGCAGAGCGCGGCTGGCTGGAGTCGCCCCCGGGTCCCTGATGGCTTGGACCTGGAGTGCGGCTGAATGGCTGGCGGTGGTGTGCCTGGGCGGGGAGGTGTCCTCCTCCATGGCGACATCACTGGCCAGCGAGAGGTCGCAGCCTCGAGGGGTGTCCTCCTCCATGGAGACGTCGCTGGCCAGCGAGAGGTCGCAGCCGCGGGGGGTGTCCTCCTCCATGGGGACGTCGCTGGCCAGCGAGAGGTCGCAGCCGCGGGCGGGGTCCTCCTCCATGGAGACATCGCTGGCCAGCGAGAGGTCGCAGCCGCGGGGGGCGTCCTCCTCCATGGAGACGTCACTGGCCAGGCTGATGTTAAGTGCCGGGGTGACGTCCACATCCATGGGGGTGCTCCTATCTGGGGGGCTGCCACTGCCCAGGGGTGTCCCGGAGGGGCTGGCTGAACTGGCAGGGCTGCGCTGGGTGTGCTGCGCTGGTGGGACCGGGGCCACTGCTCTCCCCTGATGGCCGTAGGGCTGCAGTTGGCCCCGGGGGGCACTTTGGTCTGCCCCAGCCAGGGGCTTCCCACTGCCCTGGGGGCCCCCCCGGGCAGGGTTTGGTGGAAGAGCAACACCAGGGCTGCTTGCCAGTGGGGCTGGTGGAGGCAGGTTGGCTGAGCCTGTGAGAAAGAGCAAACCCTGGAAGTCACATCCCAAGCTGGGGGTGTCAGGCGCTGAGAGGACTGAGGAGGAGGAGGAGGAGGAGGGCGAGGTGCAGGGGAGGAAGGGCTGTGAATGTCCCCACCGTGCACAGCGGGGCTTTCGGGGTCAGGCTCTGTCCTCACCTTTGGTGCCGGAGCTTTGGGGGGAGCGGAAGAGCTGCTGCACGAGCCGGGTCAGGGCTGATCTCCAGCTCACAGAGCGGCGCCACAGAGCTGACAGGGCCATGGTCAGTCAGACTCGGTGGCCGGTCGCTTCTGTTGACTGGACACAGGTCTGGATGCTCCTCTTGGAGCATCTCCAGGGATGGAATGTTGGGCCTCCCATTGTGTCATAGAGACAGCAGTAATGCTGGGGCTTCCCTTCTTCTGCCCCACCCCCAACAGCTTTGCCAGCTCTTCATGGGCAGAGGAAGGGTTAACCAAAGAGCTCGAATCACATAACATCCTGCCTTGGAAGGGACCCACAAGAGTCGCCCAGTCCAACTCCTGGCCCTGTGCAGGACAGCACAGCCATCCCACCATGTGCCTGAGAGCGTTGTCCAAACGCTCCTTGAGCTCTGGCAGCCTTGGGGCCGTGACCACTGCCCTGGGCAGCCTGTTCCAGTGCCCGACCACCCTCCGGGGGAAGCACCTTTTCCTAATGTCCAACCTAAGCCTCTGCTGACACAGCTCCGACCATTGCCTCAGGTCCTGTCCCTGGTCCCACAGAGCAGAAATGGCCGCTGCCCCTTGGCAGGAAGCTGCAGCCCCCCATGAGATCTGACCTCAGTCTCCTCCGCTCCAGGCTCAACAGCCCCAATGACCTCAGACCTCAAGGGCAAGGTCCTGCACCTGGCTCAGGGCTTGGCTGGTGCCACCTGGCACAACAGCAGCTTGCAAATTTTGCAACACAACAGGGAGGACCAAGAAGGCTTGGGCTAAGAGAGACTATTTACAAGGGACTGGAGTGACAGACCCAGGGGCAATGGCTTCACACTGGCAGAGGGCAGGCTTAGATGGGATATCGGAAAGAAAGTGTTCAGGGCCAGGTTGGACGCGGCTTGGAGCAAGCTGGTCTAGCGGAAGGTGTCCCTGCCCGTGGCAGAGGGGTGGTTGGAAGCAGATGAGCTTTAGGGTCCCTTCCTTCCAACACGAACCGGTCTAGGAGTCTAGGAGTCTTGAAAAACAGGAGACTTCTGCAGAAGCCAGGAGGTGAATAAAAACATTTGCCACTTAAAGACAAAGTCTTGTTGCCAAGGGTCATCACCTGATTCTGGGGACTACTCTCATGACTTCTCACCACTGGAAGCTGACATTGCTGAAAGTGATGCAAATTGACCTAAACCCAAACAATCCGACAAAAGCTCCCTGATGCAAGGATCCTGGAGCAAGCATATCATCCTGGAGGCAATGATAGGGCAATTTCTGCGCCTCTGCCGTAAAACTGTCAGTTCTGGCCCTACCCTGGAGAGTTTTTTTTCTGCTCTCCATTCCATGGGAAGACAAGAGTGGAGAAGAACAGGGTTCTGTCCACTCAGGGTCAAAGGCGCTTTAGGTCTGTGCTGTGATCTGTTGGAGTTGAGCTCTTGTCTAGAAAACGAGGGCTTTCGGGACTGCTCTGATTCCTCACGTGGACTCAGATGTTCCAAGCAGGCAAGGGTACGTCCAAGAGAGGATCTGCCCACTTGAACTTCTGAACTTGTGGAGCTCTCCTGGCAGTTCTGGGCGTAGTGATTCTGTGGATGTCAATTGGCTGTTCTGGAGAAAAGCTGGTGATTAAAAGAAGTAGTGAGAGAACCAGACCGAAAATGGGTGAAAGTGTTGCAGAAAGTGAGGCTGGGCAGTAAGAGCTCAACAGTAAGAACAAGGGTGTTTCCCATTCCCTGGCATTAGGAGAAGGACGAAGGGAAACAAGGAGCTCGGCCCCCGGAGAAAGACCCACCGGTGCAGTGTTTGAGGAGACAGGGTGTGCAGCAAATCAGGCAGTGGGCTTCGAGCAGTGAGTGAGGGGAAAAAAGGATTTCAGGCAAGAAGGAAGAAGATCCCTGAAGAGGCTCAAGGCAGCTCTCCTCAGCTCCACGGTTCTAGTCTTACAGGCTGCCTTGCTTCCTCCTCCCGCCATCCCGAGCTCCACTCTTAGCAATAGGAAGGTGCTCTTGCAAAGGGTGTAGTGCAGTCACAGTTCGCAGTGAGAAGCAAGAAGTCACTGGTTGTTCAATTGTCAGTTCCCAAGAGGTACCGTTTGCCCGGAGACAGGGGGCCCAGTCAGCAGCCCAGAAGGTCTCAGGTGGCCACGTCCTCCCTTTTGAAGCGGCCTCCGTTTTGAAAAATGTCAGTGGCCTTCCCAGCCACCTCATCGGGACGTAATGGGGGGCACAGAGCAGGCGTGTCGGGAAGCCTGTAAGCCCAGAGTATCTCAGCCAGTGGAGAAACAGGCAGGGAGCAGCGCTGCGGGCAAAGGGGCTAAAAGGGGGCTGCGACCTCCACTGAGCTGAGCCACCTGACTGCGGTTTGTCCAGTGAAGTCTCCCTTTTATTGCAATGAAAGTTTATTTTTTTTCGTCAGCTCCTCTATCTCCTGGCTATTTATGTGTTTCCCACTGGCTGGAATTTCAGACGACCACAATCCCATGGTCTCTACAGCCCTGGCTGTCCCGGACCTTCCCATCTCCAACGAGGTCTTTGCTGTGTGTTCGTAAGAGGTGGAGCAGCACAGCATTCCTTTTGCTTGTCAGAGGCTCCAGCCCCCTGGGCCAGGAAGTTGTCGTCACCGCTTTCCGGGAACCTGCTGGACTGTTGGTGCTTGGCTGTGTTGCTTCTCCAGCTGCCGTCAAGGTAGTTGAAGTCTCCATGAGAACCAGGGACTGTGACTTGGAGGCTGCTTCAAGCTGCCTGTAGAGGTCTCCTCCACATCTTGCTCCTGCTCAGGAGGCCTGGAGCAAACCCCCACAGCAGTGTGCCCATTCCCAGCCTGCCCGCCCTTTGATCCTGACCCATCAACTCCTGAGTGGCTGGCCGTCCACCCCAAGACAGAGGTCGAGACCTTCCGAGTGTCACCTCCCAGAGATCTACGGATGTCGTCTCCCTGGGCTCCTGTGAGGCCCTGGATGTGGTTGCCAGCGCATTCTTCCCTCTCCCTCATCGGCCCTGTCCAATGCAGCCCCAGGGCAGCCCGGAGGAGCCCTGTCTGGGGCTGTGGTGGGGTCACTGGGAGCAGCCTTCCAAAGCCCCAGAGCGGCAGGATGGTGCCCAGGCTGTGCTCAGGGCTGCTTTGGGCGTGGGGCCGTCTGCGCCAGTCCCGCACGGGACCCATGTGTCCTGGCTGCCGCGCCAAAGGGCTGCTTCCCCAGGCGAAGGGGGCAGGGGAGTGACCCTGCGTGAGTGCCTGCACCTCTGTCAGTGACGCAGGCCCGGGGTGCCCTTTGGGTGCCCTTGGTGCCCTTTGGGCCTTGGTGGATCTGCTTGGTGCCATTTGCTGCTGCCACCCTGCACTCCCTCCCCATTCCATGCAGACACAGGCAGGTGTTGGAATAAAATCTTTTATTCCGTAACCAGAAGAAAACTCTTAACTATATCTACGTCTACATCTATCTCTACATCTTCCCTACATCTCTATCTACATCTTCCCCACATAAACACCCTCCCTCCCTCCCACTGGGATAGATCCCCAAACGATCTATCCCTCCCCCTGGCATAGATCCCCAAACGATCTATGCCTCAAGCTGGGATAGGTCCCCAAACGACCTATCCCTCAAACTGGGATAGATCCCCAAACGATCTATCCCTTTAAGAGGCCTAAGCCAGTCTTTCTGCCCCAGCCCTGGCTGCGGGAGCCTTGATCTTGCTGGCAGCCCCCGGCTCCGAGCCCCTCTTCCTCTTCGTCCCCCGCCTTTCCAGCTTGGTGTCGTGTGGGGGGACGCTGCTCTGCGGTGGTGGCAGGTCTGTCCCCACGTGCTGCTGGGAGTCCTGAGGCTTCGTGCCGATGGCGTGGCGGTGCCCCGTGCTCAGGACGGCTTGGGAAGGCTTGGGGACACCGCAGGCATTTTGGGGCATCTTCTTCGGCGGGCAGAGCGAGGGGATCTTGTGCTGGGGGCTGGTGCCGCTGGTGCTGCTGGTGCCCCCACGGTCTGTGGGCACGGGGACGCTGCTGCCATGATCCTGGTTGGTCCCTGCAGCCCCCGGGGAGCAACCCAAGTGCCCCTGAGTCCCCTTCGGCAGGACCTTCCCCCGCAGCAGAGCGCGGCTGGCTGGAGTCGCCCCCGGGTCCCTGATGGCTTGGACCTGGAGTGCGGCTGAATGGCTGGCGGTGGTGTGCCTGGGCGGGGAGGTGTCCTCCTCCATGGCGACATCACTGGCCAGCGAGAGGTCGCAGCCTCGAGGGGTGTCCTCCTCCATGGAGACATCACTGGCCAGCGAGAGGTCGCAGCCGCGGGGGGTGTCCTCCTCCATGGGGACGTCGCTGGCCAGCGAGAGG